TCACACTCATGACAATGTCGGGGGCCTAGTCAAGCCAGCTGCTGTCGGTCATAATAGGGGTGCCTTGACTCCTGCCTTGCACGCGAGCATGTCCTTGCTTTTGAATGTCCTCTGCCAGGACGGCCTCTCCAACATGATGGTTACTGAGACAGGTGCCTTGCTCTGAACAAGCTCGTGACTTGCGGGGGCACTGTGCTGGGTTTGGGGCTCGATGAGCCAAGTTGATATTAGCTGACATGATACACGTTCCATACAGTCTGCCGAGGTAGCACCATATGCAAACGGACAGTTCCACAAGCCCCAAGTCGTTGACGTCCCATCGGGAATACGTGCTGGAAATTCCCAGGGGTTCTTGGATTTGCTTTGGGAAAGGGTCAGAGAGGTTCTTTCGGCAACCCTGTGTTTGTTGTCGGCCGGGCAGGCATGCGTTGTCTGCGGCAGCTTGCCAGCACCTGTGCTTGTCCCCTCCATTTCGCACGGCCCAGTCTCATCACAGACCTCAACTTTGCCCTTTTTGGTTCCGGGGCGAACAGGCGAAGTGAGGATCATCCGATGTTGAAAGAGCTTCATCCAGGATCCCAAGACTTGGGAAGAAGAGGGCCTTTGGGTAGACAAAAGACGACACAAACCCTGGGGTTTTGGGGGAAATTTCGGGGCCACCACTTCGAGGACGCCGAAAGGGACCCCCCGGTGGCTCCCTCCTTGCCAGCGGCTGAGGCGAGGACGAGGCGCAGATGACCGAGAGCTTGGCCTCGGATGAGGTGAAGGAGTCGAAAGCGTGAGGGGCCGGGGTTGCGCGAGACGTGGCCATGGGTCGTTGAACCTATGGCGAGCGTTTTTTTGGGCGGAACACCCATGCACCACCTATTTATGAGGTACGGGGTTTGGGTCAAAATTAAACCGGGGGAATTCAGATTTGAATCCTGGGTTCCATTTACCAGGGTTCCATTTTGGGTACCCATTTTAGTCCCATTTTGACCCACAGCCATGTCGTCTCGGGGGTTGGGCTGATCCCACTTCCATCTTTTTCTTTTTTGTGGAAGACGGGGCTTTTGGGGGGGTCGGTTTGTGGGAACACGAAAGGACATGACTTGGTTTCGACTGCCATGACTCCATGGTGCAAAAGAGGGTAAATAGCCCAAAGATCGTTGGTTCTTCCAGAAAGGAAGCCCTGAAAGGGGATGAGGGATGCTTGTCTTCCTCACCTATCCAGCACCATGACGAGCCTTCGGGACTGGCTGGAAGAAAAAAACACCAGGCCTTCGAAGTGGGTCAGATCTTCTTTTTTTTTGCGCCGCAAGGCCCACGACGTTTCTGGGGATCACTCACCAACTCACCAGAAACATAGAAGTTGAATCTGCCCCCATGCCCAGTATCCCCGCTCAGCTGCAAGCGGGGTCGATTTTTGCTTCATTGTCCAGCTCAAAGGAGCGGAAGCGAGTTCCGGGCCTTGGGACAGGCATCCATCGATCCCCACCCAGGGATGGACGCGGGGCAGCCGACCCATTTCCCCGACGACTAGAAGGTCACGTCCCTCTCTCAGTATGTATACAACCTCCCAATACCGAGGGGTTTGCTCTATTTGAATTGTGGGGCTATGTTATATTTCTACATACAACTATGTCCCCTTACACGTATTGAGCTGGGGTGACCTGCAAGGATCCATCCTATTCCCCGTTCCCTTTCGATGCCACCAAACGGCATTACCCCAAAATAGACATGCCCAAACAGGGGTTTGTCACAAAGTTTGGGAATTTCTGTGTTTTTTCTCCAGTTTGCCTTCTACACACAATCCCAACAAGGTGGCAAAGCGCCCTCACCAAAAGCGGCGTGCCCAAATTCTTTTCTGGCCTTTTGCCAGTCCTCCAGAGGACATGATGGCGGAACATAGTTATGGTCAGTTTTTTTGCCAGGGGAACCCCCATGTAAAGTGATACAATGATAGTCAGCCACTGCGATAATACAGATGGAGGATTTCCACAACCATGCAGGGGTTCGATGGCCATTAACATATGTAAATTGCAAGATATGTGAACTTCCCAGCATTCGAAAGGTTCCAATCAGCTGATTCGTGGAAATCCGTGACGTGTGAAGGATCTCTTCACATTCTCGGAGAAGACCGCCTGCGCCACCCACGACATGTTGAGCTGCCAGCGCTGCTCTACGGACGCGCCCTCTGCGGTGCCGCAGGAGATGCGAGACACGGCCCGAAGCGTTTGTCAGTGATCATTCTCGGGATGGGTTTCACCAGACTTCGATAGTTCAGCAATACCTCGCGAGTCAATAGTGGCTTTAACCATTCATAACTTAGACAAATACAGTACCAGACTTCGATAGTTCAGGTTTTAACCATTCAAAACTTAGACAAATACAGTACCAGACTTTGATAGTTCAGCAACTCTTTGGGAGTCAATAGTTTGACTGTTTCTGGGGGTTGATTATCAATGAAGTAAAGCGGCGTCAGTGTTGAAACCCATTTGTCTTGCACAATAGAACTCTCCTGTCAGGTTCCATTTTTGTTGCTGGGAGGAAAAGGCTTTTAGGAACTTGTATTGCTATGGATGTGAACGGTTCCCACTTCAGCCCCGAAGGGTTCCCAATTTTACTGTTGTCATTGGCTAGCCGGGGGTATGAACACCCTCAACAAGGATTTGTTGTTGCAGGAATCCCATTGATTGTCTAAACTATATGTGACGCCCATGTCTGCAGTACCTCTGGCTCCGAGCCTAACTACCACTTCGTTGTTGTTTGAAGGATGGGATCCGCTGTTTCACACACACACACACACACACACACACACACACACACACACACACACACACACACACACACACACACACACACACACACACACACACACACACACACACACACACACACACACACACACACACACACACACACACACACACACACACACACACACACACACACACACACACACACACACACACACACACACACACACACACACACACACACACACACACACACACACACACACACACACACACACACACACACACACACACACACACACACACACACACACACACACACACACACACACACACACACACACACACACACACACACACACACACACACACACACACACACACACACACACACACACACACACACACACACACACACACACACACACACACACACACACACACACACACACACACACACACACACACACACACACACACACACACACACACACACACACACACACACACACACACACACACACACACACACACACACACACACACACACACACACACACACACACACACACACACACACACACACACACACACACACACACACACACACACACACACACACACACACACACACACACACACACACACACACGGGTATAGGTCAAAATTTGAACCACCAGGGGACCGCAGGTTTTGGTCCAGGTTTCATTTACCAGGATTCCATTTTGGGTACATATTTTTGACCCACAGCCACACTTGGAATCCTGGAAAGGAGGAGGAGGTCTTGGAGGATGACCTGCGCACCTGGTCTCACCACCCAGGCGCTGGCGGAATTGATGGAAAAGGTTTCTTTTTGGTCTGACCTATCCGGGGTAAAATGAGCTGACCTGTGATGAAGGTTTTTTACTCAGGGGTTTCCAGTTTCGGAATTATAGGAAGGTGCCCGGATGTTTGTTGGTTTTCCGTTAGAATAACAGAGGGCAGCAACAGAACGGAGAAAAAGAAGAACAAAAACGCACGGAATTTGCAAATGCCAGGGGTCACTGGATTCCCCCGGCACGTTGCAATTCAATGGTGTCCAATGAAACTACCGCTGGAGGTCCAAGTAGTTCGCCCCCGATTTTGAGAACATGGCAAGTGGCACATCCACTCCGGCGTAGGGCCCTTTCTTGCTTCGGGTGTGCGGGTGCTCGCACTTGGACAGAAGCGTGAAGGGATTGATCCCGATAGAGAGACATGCGAGTGAGTCACAAGCAGACTGAGCTCATCAAAACGCCCATGTTGGCTGGAGACACCCATGTTTCTCGAAGACTATCTCAGCTAGTTTGTTGCAAAGCCGCCTTCGTTGAGTATCAGATGCTGACCCTGGTATTTCATGTTTGTATTTTGGATGCTGCGGCCCCGAAGCGAATGCGCTTTCACCGCCATTCATCATCCTTTGCGGTTGTGTGGCACCCGGTCTTTCAGGGTCTCTTGGGGAATCGGGGGAACAGGGCGCCTGCCAGAAATTACCTTAAGCTAGTTTTAGTCTGACACGTTTCACCGGGTCTCCAAGCTCTACGTCTTCTTCCCGGCCTCCCAAAGGTGAATCATTCCCGTGGAGTCTTGGGAATTGGCTTCCAGCGGATGGGAACCTCACACCTCCCAAAACGAGAGGAAGGCCTGCAAGCAACGGACAGCCATCAGCCCACCAGGGATGATTCACATTCCTGTTTTCGTTGCTTTTTTGATTTCGTCCAACTGCATCAGTAGGCATGAAAGTTAGCGTGGAACATTTGCCAAAACGGCGTGGTTCAATTCGTAGCCAATTGCTTTCCCCACACCCGACGGCAAGAAGCGCGCGACATCCTCTTCATTCCTCTTCCCTCCATTTCGCCACTTGCAGCTTGCACTCGGACCCCTGGTAAGCAAGCAGTTGTCCTGAGTGAGTGGTTGGTTCCATTTTGTTTTAGCGCCACAGTTCTTCATGTATCCTTCATTTATATTAAGTGCCATTCCCAAGGCAATTGCGAAGGAAGGAAGGAAGGAAGGAATGAAGGCAAGAAGGACTGCCTCATGCTGTGAAGTCGTCAAAACCTTTAGAGCCACGATCAACACCCGTGTAATTGGAGTCCGTGACAATCCCCGCCACAAGTCTGGGTTTGCCGCCGTTTTTTCTGTCACTTCTTTACATTTGGTTCTGTGTGGATCATATTCATTTTTCGGATCGGTTTGGATTGTGGGCCACCACAATCACAACTCGGGTAGATGAAGGTTAGTAAGGAACAATCCCAACCATAAATAGCTGCGGCCCCCTTCTTAATTCCTGACCTGGTTCTGGGTAGACCGTTTTAATACCCGGGTTTTTGATCAGGACTTTGATTTGGCATGAGCTTCGTGAGGGGCACCAAAGCCCGGGTTCATTCCCGCATTTTTTGGTGAGCATTTTTCTCACTGGTTCTGATTGAGAGGCTGCGCTTTGTCTCCTCCGGGCCACCGGGGCACCGGGGGCCATCCCGGGGCCTCGCTAGGCGCCGAGGGCATCCAGGACGACATCCTGCAGGAGGCCTCCAAGCAGCTCTCCGCCCTGCGTAGCTGGACCCGAGGCGAGGGGACACCGCCCAGTGGCCAGTATTATGTGTATATATATATATATATATGTATATTATATATACACATATGTATATGTATATATATATATGTGTGTTTATGTATATATATATATATGTGTTTATGTGAATAGTTGTACATGTACACGTAAAGTATCATATATACATATAGATGCCGAGTTAAGCAAGGTTCACCCACCTGTTGCACCGGCTTGGTTCTTGGTAGTTGGGTCCCTGTATTTGCCCAAGAGCCTCATTTCGAAACACCGTTCAGGTCGGTCTTCAAAAATGAGAATGAATCATCCTGAAGGCTCCTCTAGTTTTGAGACACGCTAAACGCAGCAGAGCATGATGAGTACTCGCACTCCCAAACCAACATCTATCAAGGGACACAACCAGAAACAGTTTGTTGCTGTCCAAAGTTGCCACCCCTGCCTTCTCGAAAGTGCAGCCCCTGCCAGAAAAACAATAAACATGTTATCTTTCAGGTGTGTAACACTTGCGAAAGCACCATCACAGCAGTAAAAACTGAGGGTATGGCATGATGCAGGCATTGGCTCGCACAACAGGACACGCTGCGCGCGGAGTGCCTCTGGGCGGTATTTCCTTTACGATGGGCTGCCACATCGAGTACACGCCGCTTGGCAAGAGGAGAAGCTTAACAAGGAAGCAGTGCCATACAGTGGAAGGGCAAAATCTTGCATCAGCTGGGATGCATGAAATCCTGCGAATTACGTGAGACACCATCTACCAGCTACCAGATTCTGTCCATCCATAGGTGTCCTTTCAGGTCAGTTTGGTTGAAATGCATTCCGCTGGTTGGCCTCTACTCATTTGCGGGTGCCATCTATCTTGTCCGAGCGGACACCTACAAAATCCCTTCCCCCATTATGAAATCCACCCATCCCATCCATGAATACTTGTTTTTTGGAAAGCATATTGTGCAATGGTTCCGCATGGGGTTCAGGGGGTTCCACTACGGTCCTTGTTTAAATGGGGCCCCCATTTGGTGCAAAACCGTGAAGCTCGTCATTTGCCGAGCACGGAATTGATCTAAATTTGCGCAATCACTTGTTTGGATTCGTCATTTCAAAACAATTTGAGTTTGCAATTCAAAGAAGGGACATGCTGAAAGAACCTTTAAGAAGGGCTGTGAGATGTTTAGTTTTTGGCTTAGAATTGGGTTGTTTGGATCTTGGCCCGAAAACATTTATTGATATGGGTGGATATATTGATAGGGAGAGGGAATGATTGGCAATGAGGGAACGCCCCTCACTGGCTTCTTTTCAGCTGGAATGCTGCACGTTTGGGCCTTTCTGGTTGCCAAGTGGCCAACATGTTGTCCCCTTTATTGAGCCGCTATCTTGGCGGGACAGTGAGCGGCAGCTTTTTGCATCTTCAGCTTGCAGCAGCCAAAAGATGGGCACCGCGCTCTCCGCAAAAAAAATGCATCCCGAACTGGTTCAACCCATGGTCACGAAGCCCAGTCCGGACTTGGAAACCCATCCCCCCACTAGGGTCGTCTACGTATGACCCCCGCCGTCAACATGTTGGGTTCCAGTGAAATGGCAATAGAGCGCTCTGATTTCGAAGCTTCAACTGCAGCCCGCTTCCGGTCCATCAACTGCAAGGCACGGTTGTGGCAAGCTTTCTGTGATGCCCTTGAGGCACCAACAGGTATCACAGCAACCACTTCCGCAACCTTGAAACGCGCGATGTTTTTGTCTCTAAGTGATGCACCCCCCGAATGGGCTGCCAAGAAAAAAGGGAGCTCATTCCAAAATCTCGGGGCCATGCCCATGATTTCAGCCCCAGCCAGGGGGTAGCTCTCTCGCAAGTGCTTGAAATCAACGCCTCCCTATGGCGCTTGAGCCGGGCGACCCGTCGGCTCGAGGAAGGAGCAGATCGCCAAGCTGGAGGCGGAGGAGAGACAGGAGCAGGAGAAGCGGAAGGCCCAGGCCAGCGCGACGAGTCGCGACCGACCGGGCGGGGACTGCGGTGGGTTTGTTGCTTTTTTGAGGCGAAGAAGGTGCCCCTTTTCAGGTTAGTTGAAAGGGAAAGCTATAGGAAACCAACAACAAATGAGGCGGACAAACCCTGTTGTGACATACCTCTGTCATATAATTACTAGGATATGGAATTGCCAACATGGGTCCTCTTTTTTTCTGGCTTCCCTTGAGCCCAAGACAGGGATACAGTACCCTCGCTTTTGGTGGAGGGCCTTCTGAGCCTTCGGAAGCCACCAAGAGGTCGCAAAGTGCGCCTGCTTCGCCGGGGTGAGCCATGCAAGCGCATCATTCGGCTTAAGACATCAAGACTTGGGGACAGCTCCCTGCCTGACCCTGGGCTTCCACTGTCCGCCATGGCGGAAATGAAGACCTTTGAGTTGATGAAGGATGCCCCTGGCTGCACAGGGATGTTTTGGCGGGCCGACCCCCGGAACGGCAAGAAGGGCAGCATGGACAACTGGCCCAGAGACGGAGCGCAGTTGAAGGGTACCGTTCATGAAGTGAATGGTGAGAAGTGGTTGGAATGTAAGGAGGTGAAGCAGAAGGATGGCGGATGGATTTCCTGTCAGCAAGACCAGTGGATGCCGTTCAGATACTCACAGTATTACTTGCAAGAGACCTGAATCAGTGCCTGCCCCGCGAGCCAAGATGTCGAACCATGTTCTTTGCGTCTCGATGTTGGGAGGATGTCCCACCTCGTCCAATCGCCGAACGTCTCATTTTCGCTTGTCCCAGCCTTTCGACTGATGGTTTTTCAGCGTTGAGAGAACAAGCTCTTCACCGACAGTGGACAACATTTGATGCTGGCTGTATCTCCGTATACCACACGTCCGCGGGATTTCACAGCTTGAATGGATAGCCAGCTGAGGTGCGAACCCTGAATTGGGAAAAAGCTCGCTGGAAGCAGCCTGATTGACCCATTGACATGGAGTTGTAGTATGGGTGCACCAACGGACCCATCCTTTTGGCTGATTCAGCAGGTACAAGTTCTGGTTGGGAATGATTCTGAGAAACACTCTTAGCCCGGCATATCAGCTTGAATGATATTATGTTGACCAATGCGACACGGATTGAATCCCATGTGGCACATGGGTTTTGGGTTGCCATGTTCGCTGATACACTTGGAATCTTGAAGGTGATCGTCAGGGTTTGACGGAACTAAACACAAAACGGTATGTAGGTTGCCTTTTTGTGCGATTCCCTTGGGAATCCTCTTGAACGTGTTGCACCACTCATGGCGTCGCAGAAGATAATCGGCAGCAAGACGTTAGACAGTTGAAGCTGCCACCACTCATGTCTCTGGGGCTTTAGGCCTGATTGTCAAGGAGATGTTTGTCGAGGGATCTGATGACAGTTGCTCGCTTGTGAATTTGCGCATCACATCGCTGTGGCCTCATCACGATTGGATTTTCCACAAAGCGGTACGCCGCAGATTGACGTGGAATGAGTTTGGTTGGATCGGATCATGGAGGCTGTCCTTGTTGTGGTTGCAAAGAGAAAACCGAGGAAAGCCACTAGTTTAGGTCCAAGAGACTAGCCTACGTGGGTCTTTGCTCAAATGAATCTACCAAAACAAGGAGATTAACTACATACCCCCGAAGGTTTCATACCCCAATCACATAATTTTGTTTATGCTCAGGGTACCAAGGACATGTCAAGCACGTACCCTGGGACCAGTTGTTTGAGCCGGGAGAATCATTTCCCTCACCCACTCTTTGGCCGAAGTTGCAGCAGACTTGTTTGACATGAAACTTCGGATGTGGCTTCCCCCCCATTTGGAGGCAAAGCCGACGCCTACTCCGGTGCGCGCAGAGGCGGCGCGGGGCGATGTCAATTTATTTGCGATTCTGGGGGACCATGATCATGCGCCCCTTTAGTGGGAAATGATTTTTTTGAAGGGATTCCTTTGATTAGACTGGCCTTTGATTCTCATGTGAAATTGACATCACTTGAATGATGCTGTCAGCCTGAAGATATTTAGCTTCATCCATTGGGCACCTGCACCAGCGCCTCCAAATCTTTGATGTCAAGTTACCCACCAACATAGAAGTGCACAGGACAGTTGTTGGAAGATGAATTGCTTTCCTTTTGCAAAGCCAACCAGTCCATTTCCATGTCAGTTGGTGGGAGGATAGGTTCCTTTCACATGAGCTGGTTTTGGCATAAGACTGACTCAACTTGCAACCTGGAGCCCAACGCTCAAGTTGTTTCCTGGAAAAGAAAGCGACCCGCAGGCTAAGTGGGGTCGAAAAGGCTTGCATCATCATACAGACAATGGGTTGGTTGTGTGGACCCTGCTTGCAAGACAACAGCCGGCTTGCGGCAGGTGGTGCAAGATGTCAGTGGAGGTGCCGAGATATAAATGCTAAGACAATTGACTTTGACTCACGTCCTGAAACAAAGCTGAAGCTTGCTGACTTTGGGCTGTCATCGCTCGTGGGTACTTGGAGCCTTCCGCTTGCAAGATGTCAGGTGAGTGTTGGTGGGTGCTAATCAAGACACGTTTAGAATACGGCTGTGTCTCAAACCAGGCTACCCCATGCTACCCCTTTCGGGGATGTTTGCCAGGCCAAGCCAAAGGAAACCAAACAGGTTTTGGAACCCCACAGTCATCAGCATACGTCCACGGTGTATGTGGCTTTGTGAGCTCACGAACGGTGGGTGCAAAGTGCGAGTTTGCTCAGCAATGCTGATTTGAGAGTGAGAGAGAGAGCAATCCGCAAACAACAAGACAGCAAGGCAGCCGGACGCGAAGCAAATTGAATGAGAGAGTGGGAGAGAGGGAGAGACAACAATTAACGCAAAGTAATTGGTTCAAGCAATTATGAGAGGACGATGACAATCACGCAAGCAGCAAAATAAGGAAAGATACCCAGAAGGAAGAGCAACAAATCAACAAGCGACACCGAAACAATTTAACACATGAACACATACAGCAATAAATCATACGCAAGTCAAGAAGCAAGTGGAGTGGGATCACTCCATCAACTTAGCAGCAGGAGTGTACGCACTTACATCAATGAATGCAATGAACGCGCAACACACAGGTCGGCGTACCGATACAACATGAAATCTAGACTGTCATCCTGCTTGACAGGATCATTGACCAGAGCTCGGCTGCAGGTGAAAGCCAGCCGAGCGCAAGAGCAAGAGCCGCCTGCACAGGCCATACTGGGATTGGTTGATCTGGGACGGTTGAGACAGTCTCCGGATGTGTCCATTGCAGTCAATCCAAGGCATTCCCAACATATTGCTCCACCATATTGCTCCACCATATTGCTCCACCATATTGCTCACCATATTGCATATTGGATGGTTCTCACCATGTTGCTCCACCCAAACGGCGAGCCACACGATGCTCGCGTGCACGCATGATGCCATTGAGCTCTCGAGGCAACGACGGCTCAAAAGCCTCAGGCAGGGAGAGCGGCGTCGAGCAAGCTGCGTGAAGCGCGCGCGTGCCGCGTTTCGTAGTTTCGTTTTTTGGTTTTAACGGTATGGTGTTTCTGTATGGCTGTGGGTCAAAACCAATGGTACCATTTTGGGGTTGGTGCACCACCCATTTTAGTCTATTGTAGTTGGGATTGGGATGTTCACTGGGGGTACGGGATTTTGACCCTTGGCCATATTAGGCAGATCATGTAGCCATAGCTTTGCAGGCCATGCCCAAGCAGCAGGTCAAAGCAAGCCGAGCAGGAGAGCAAGAGCCGCCTGCGCAGGCCAGCCGGACTGGCCTTGCTCGTTTTGGGGCAGTGCAGACGGTTGACGTTGTGCGATCCAAGCCATCCCGGAGCCTTTGAACTACCTTCGCACCAGACTCTTCCACGCAGGTCTTGAGCCCCATGCTGCTCACGTGCATGCATGATGCTGTTCAGGACAAGCAAGTAGATGGTGAGCCCTTGCGAGTGCAGTGTATTGCACTTGCAGGCAGCGCCAGCACGTGCTCAAGCGTCTGAGGCTGGAAGAACGCGGGACGGGCTGCGCAAATCGTCCTTGGCTTGTGTGTTCATGTTCCGCACTCCATTCCGATTTTGCAACTACAGCTCTGGCATCTGCAGGTGAAAGCCAGCCGAGCACGAGAGCAAGAGCCGCCTGGGCAGGCCAGCCAGACTGTGCTTGCTCGTTTTTGGACAGTGTAGACAGTTGCCAGTTGCAGGCGCAATCAAAGCCATTGCAAAGCCTCTGCACTACCTTCGTTCCCGATTGCTCCATGCAGATCACGAGCCACATGACTTGCTGTTCACGAGCCCCTTGGGAGTGCAAGTTTTCCTACTTGCAGGCAGCGCCAGCACGTGCTCAAGCGTCTGAGGCTGGAAGAATGCAGTCCAGTAGGCTGCGCACTGCGTACATGGCTTCTGTGTTGATCTTCTGGTATGTTTAGTATGTTGCCTAGAGAAGTTTGGCGCACGATCGTATTGCAGTACTTCCTTCAGTAAGGGTTGTGCAAAGGGGTCCGCACATCACAGCTTTGCAGACTCTGCCCTATCTGAAGGTGAAAGCCAGCCGAGCACGAGAGCAAGAGCCGCCTGCGCAGGCCAGCCAGACTGGGCTTGCTGTTTCGTCGGCAGTGTAGACGTTGCCAGCTTCGTTTTAGATTGTTCAACGCAGATTACGAGCCACATGACTTGGCGGTTTTCTGGCTGTTTAGTATGTTGCCTAGAGAAGTTTGGCGCACGATCGTACTGCAGTACTTCCTTCAGTGAGGGTTGTGCAAAGGGGGTCTGCACATCACAGCTTTGCAGACTCTGCCCTATCTGAAGGTGAAAGCCAGCCGAGCACGAGAGCAAGAGCCGCCTGCGCAGGCCAGAGTCAGACTGTTTTTTGCTTTGAGGCGGATGGAGCAATTTCCAGACGTTTTCGTTGCAATCAAAGGCATTCCCAATTTTGCGAGGTTTTCACCAGTTTATTTCCACGAAATCGAGAGACACAAGATGCTCACGTGCAGGTATTCTGCCATTCAGGGCAGGTAGACCTCGAGCCCCTCCCCGACTTTCATTTGCTTAAGTGTTTTTCCTTTTTTTTAATTGAACAAATCCCTTACTGGTTTCAAAAGGAATTTATCACTACTGGACATATTTGTCCAGGGGTCTTAAGCAAATGGAAGCCGAGTCATGTTTTTTTTCTTCTGCACACCTGGGCTCATCTAGAGGCAGCGCCGGCTCAACCTCGAAAGTCTGAGGCAGGGAGAGAGGCTGAGGAGCCCAGTGGCTCGTCACGCTTTGTAACTTTCATTTGCTAAATAATACGTTGTTTTCCCCTTTGATGTTTTAAAGGGAATCTATCACTAGTGGAAATATGTTATATTTTTCCAGGGGGCTTAAGCAAGCAAATTGAAGGTAATGTTTTGGCATGGTTTTGCCTTGGTATGTTTGGTGCGCGATCGTACTGCGCTTCGGTCAGCGCGGATAGTGCAAAGCTCCACAGATCATAGCTCTCCAGACTCCGTCGGATTTCCGCAGATGAAAGCCGGCTGTGCGCGAGAGCAAGAGCCGCCTCAGGCCAGACCGGGCTTGCTCGTTTCAGGGGTTATAGTTGCCAGTTGCTGGTGCAATAACAAGCGAAGATCCGCCATTTGTGGGGGCCCCCATCTAGACATACCCTTTTGACATCATACATGCATTTGATATTTGAGTAAATCCATCGAATATGGACCAGAAATTGTTGATGCCATTGGTTGGCATTTTAATAGCCAAAGGTACGTCGGGGGTGGTGACCCAAGCCAGAGCTCCCTGGCTTTGTTGGTGGCAATCAAACCGTCCTTTTGTTTGGTCCGCATTGTCTAAACCTTAGTTGCAATCTGGGTGCTAAATAGCGTAAAGGAAGCCAAAAGGCATGGATCGTGTGATGTTCGAAGAACTCTTACTTAGTCGCCAGCTATTTGTTTCTTGTTGTGGGAGTCTCAGTGCTTTTGTGGCAAAATGTCACGCCGCAATGGCAGGTGACTGTTGGCAGTTGCTTTGAAAACCAGTCTGCTTTAGAATGTTGGCCGCATCTGCCTGTTCTGCTTGCCACCCCTTTGCCGAGCATGTAGCACCATCATGTTCCCCTGCCTCCTAAAGCAAGTGCATTTGGAGAAAAAAAACACGAGAGTATGGTATTGCTCGTTAGTATGACTGGTATTCGTGGGGCTGTTTGTGTTTATTATCTTTGCCCCTCTTCAGTTCTCTTCGAATATTGTCAAAGCAGACCTCCTCTCCCTGCAGGCCAGATAATCGTTCAATCTGACTCGGCGATTGTCAACGAGTCATTTTCAGCCGAGCTCATGTTGCTTGTTTAAACTGGATTGTATTGGTTTGGAACTAGTTCCGAACTGCTTGAGTGTAGCTTGATCTTAGTTTAGAGGTTTCGAGTTTGTTTTGTTCAGCATTGGTGCAGTATTGGTTTGGGGACCCTAGCTATGACTACAGTGCGTGTTGGGGCTGATTCAAGGTTGGAAAATCCAGTCTTATCATTGGGGAACTGTGAAGAAGTAAATGAGAGTTGACTGGCTCATTTGTTGTCTTGTGTGTGTGTGTGTTTGTGTGTGTGTGTGGCAAACGATTTCTGACCCTACGTTGGCCTGCGCAGGCCAAAGCAAGTCGGACACGTGAGCCACCTCAGGCAGGGGCCGCTTGCTTCGCCTAGAGCATGTCTCCATTGCAGGCGAAACAATTTGTGAGATGCCACCAGTTTTCGGGTGGACTCCTTAAAAGATACATTTTGCCACCATTTGAAACATGACTTGTTCAACACCAAAACAAAGGGAAACCACCATGTACAAGGCAATGTTCAGGTGTATAATGCAAGGATCCCTGTTTCGGGTGGGCTCTCCATTTTAGGAACTATGGGAGCATGATCAAGTTGTCTCGTCGCGCGATCTTTCCTTAGGCGGCGCCAGCACGTGCTCAGGCATCTGAGGCGGGCAGAGCATTGGGAGAGCTTGACTCAGGCATTATTTGTGCATGTTGCTGTGCTTGCGGTTTGTGCATGGTGGTGGTGGTGGTGCTGCTGGTGGTGCTGGTGGTGGTGCTGGTGGTGGTGGGGGTGGTGGTCGTGGTGGGTGGTGGGTGGTGGGTGGTGGGTGGTGGGTGGTGGGTGGTGGGTGGTGGGTGGTGGGTGGTGGGTGGTGGGTGGTGGTGTGGTGGTGGGTGGTGGGTGGTGGGTGGGGTGGTGGGCGGTGGGCGGTGGGTGGGTGGGGGTGGGGGTGGGGGGTGGGGGGTGGGGGGTGGGGGGTGGGTGGTGGGTGGTGGGTGGTGGGTGGTGGGTGGTGGGTGGTGGGTGGTGCGTGGTGCGTGGTGCGTGGTGGGTGGGTGGTGGGTGGTGGGTGGTGGGTGGTGGGCCAATCTTCGTTTTTGGACGGAAAATAAACTACACAAAAACCGAGTGCATTTGTTCCATTGTCACTGGTGGAGGGCGCTTGAAAGCCCAGTGCATTTGTCCTAAAGGAACGACCACTGAAGAGAATGGCAAAGTTAGGTTTCCAAGCTCCTAATTGACCATGTAGCAACTGACTACTGAGATAGCTAAGTGGTTAGTGACCAAAATGACGCCATCAACACACATCATCTAAACAACCTCTCTCTCCCTCGAGGCCTTTAATGGAATTGTTTTGACATGAGGCTGACACAATGAAACTCGAGGTGTGTGAAGCGCAGATGGAGCTATGGTCAGTTGAGCCCATGAATCTTGGTTTTCCATGAGGTGGGGGAGTATGCTTTGTCATCAGAGGGCCCCTTCTTAGTGAAACATGATGAGACGGTAGAGTGTAGTGCATTATGCATGGGCTAAGAGCCTTCATGTCATATGTGACTCTGTGACATGTTTTTCAGTTGTCGGGCGGTTTAATCGTCAGCTGTTTTTCGTCATTGTTTTCTTTTTTTAATCAGGTGATGATGTTTGGTGGTTTCAGGACTCGGTTTGGGCAAACTCCTATTGTGACGTGTTTAGGCCACCGTTGCTCAAGCAGCGTCCCTTATAGCGAAGGGTTTGCTTGGTGGCACAGACTTCGCACCACATGTTTCAGGACCCTGCATTCCTGCCTAAAGGCAGCCTCAGTTGCCCCGGCGGCGCCAGGTGCCAAAGCAAGAGGCGAGGACGTCATCGGCACCTCGATTGGCAATTCGAAGCTCGAAGCTTTGCTTTTTGGGTTGGTCTCAAAATGAGCGGAGTCGCAGAACAAGGTGCCTATCGTTTGGGGAAAGGGCTCAGAAATGCGAGAACGACATGAGCGTGGTCTAGGCTGTTTCCTGCACATCGGGATAAGTATCACTTGGCGCGCAATTCAGCAGAAGTCCGAAAGGCGAACTGCTCAGGCAGGGATCAAGTAAGTTGCCAAGCTCTGGGGGCCTAAATCGATTTGCCCGGAACTCGATGTCGGTAGCCCATGTGGCTGGGGAACGACGCTGGGCTCCTCCTTTTGCGTTTCCAGACTCTGAAAATGGTTTTGGCCCTGGTGTTGGAGACCTGAATCAGAAACACAGCCGTGTTGCTGTTGCTCATGTATGTTGGACAAGCCGGGTATAGAGTGTCAAGGATCCAGGCACGTAAGGAGGTACTTGGACTTTTTGCTAACCCTTCAAGAACCATCCTCAAAGGGTATTTGGACCGTCTCAGCAGTTGTTGTCCAACCATTTGTGTAGTCTCATCTATTTGCCTGTTCGCCGGCTTCCAGATGATGTCCAAAACCAGGCAGCACCAAACCTCATTGACCCTTTGTGCGAATACTGACCAGAGGTCTTCAACAATGGTGAATACCGAAGATGAGTACTGCCTTTCCTTTGCAGTTGTCCACTTTGTTTGGCTCATCCCCACATTCTCCACAGTGTTGTTTTAGGCTAAGCGGCGGTCCCAATGTGAGACTATGCCACATGTCATCTACCCGAAATTCTACCGGTTTTGGTTCAATCTGTTTTCTGAGCGGAAAGGGGCACGGGGCGTGCAGAACGTTTTATTGTTGTCCCCAGATTCATGATTGTTGCATCAGCTGGCTTTCGAACACTATGTTAGGACTTCAACCAGTAATCTGAAATCGATTTTGTGCAAAATACCAGTTTCCGCTTTTCTTGCAGGAGACTGCTGCGAGCTTCTTTTTCGTTGCCATGTCTGGCTTGGTTCAGCTTGCGCGAGGATGGGCCAGCGGCGAAGCGGCTGAGGCTCGACCCAGGCCCATGGGTTTCGGTGTAGCCGCTGCGAAGCTTGCTGGTGCGATAGAGCAAATGAGAAATGAGCCACAATCAAAATCCGGGTAGACGAAGGTTAGCAAGGGACAATCCCAACCATGAATAGCTGCGGCCGCCTTCTTACTTGGTAGACCATTTTAATACCGGGTTTGGATTGTGACTCAAATGGAATGACCCTTGTTTTGAGGGGGACCAAAGCCTGAGTTCATTCCCACATTCCACAGTGAGTGAGTGAGCGAGCGAGCGAGCGAGCGAGCGAGCGAGGGAGGGAGGAGGGAGGGAGGGAGGGAGGGAGGGAGGGGGGGGCGGAGGGAGGGAAGAAAGGGGGAGGGGAGGGGAGGGAGGGGAGGGGAGGGGGAGGGGAGGGGAGGGGAGGGGGGGAGGGGGAGGGGAGGGAGGGGGAGGGGGAGGGGAGGGAGGGAGGGGGAGGGAGGGAGGGAGGAGGGGAGGGGAGGGGAGGGGGAGGGGAGGGGAGGGGAGGGAGGGGGAGGGGGAGGGGGAGGGGAGGGGAGGGGAGGGGAGGGGATGAGGGAGGGAGGGAGAGGAGGAGAGAGGGAGAGAGGGAGAGAGGGAGTGAGTGAGTGAGTGAGTGAGTGAGTGAGTGAGTGAGTGAGTGAGTGAGTGAGTGAGTGAGTGAGTGAGTGAGTGAGTGAGTGAGTGAGTGAGTGAGTGAGTGAGTGAGTGAGTGAGTGAGTGAGTGAGTGAGTGAGTGAGTGAGTGAGTGAGTGAGTGAGTGAGTGAGTGAGTGTGTGAGTGTGTGAGTGTGTGAGTGTGTGAGTGTGTGAGTGTGTGGGGTGAGGTGAGGTGTGAGGAGGAGGTGATGAGCGCGTAAGTATGAGTGAGTGTGAGTGAGTGAGTGAGAATGAGAGTGAGTGTAATGGTGATGACTCAAGCTTTGCTTTTGCTTTTTCGCGCGGCCATAGCCTTGGCCTAGGGTTCAGGGTGTCCGCAAATTTTCGGTGGGAGGGCTGCTAGCAAGCCATGGGCGCGGGAACAAGCCAATCCGACCACTCTAGCTAGCCAATCTGAGCATGTAAAATCCAACTGGTGGTGTCCGTTTTCTTTGGGGAGCAAAGGCTGGGTTTATGTCCGCATTCCGTACTGAGCACCAGCTAGTTAAGACCTGTTCTTTGTCCCGCTGGCTTTGACTGGCATTGGATGCCTGCATGGCTTGGCAAGCAGACTTTAAACTGAAGGTGGGCCATTTGCGGGTGGCTAGGTTTTGGATGGCTCAAGCCCTCCCTTTTCAGGGAAAAGGGAGTTTTTCAGAGTTTCGTCGCTTGAACGGCAATGTTCCCTCCAAAGGCCCTGCATTCTGGACGCAGGCCCAGTGCCAGTGCGGCGCAGCGCGCGCCTGCTGAAGCAATGAGGCAGCGACGGATGAGTCAGCTCTGAGGGATGGCGTCATGGGGGCTGGGGGGAGGGAGGAGGAGGGGAGGAGCCCAAAGAAGCTCTTATTGAGCCTTGTTCAGGGCGTACTTGGGCTCCTTATCTGCCCCCCCTCCTCCCCCATGGCACTGGTTCCGGGTTTGTTTCGAATCATTTCCAGTTTGTCATGCGTAATCCAAGGACACCTCGCCAGACTCACTGGATTTCTCGAGAAGGGCCATGGTCGGAGGATGAAACCAGATAGGCGCCATGGAGAGCATGTGCAGTGTTTGCTTGGGTAGGCTGCAAGGGGTGCTGGCTTATGGCAGCTTGGTTATGCGGGTGAGGCATTCTTGTGTTGGAGGCTCAACAAGCTCCAAATTGATGCGTGTATACCCAACCTGCTTGCATTTGCATCAACACCAGTTTCGAATAAGTGAATCCGCGGTCCCCGGACGGGGTGATGCATCGGTGAAAGAACGAGGATGCCGCGGAAATTCTTGGAGGAGTAAATGCTAGGGCTGCAACTTACCCTCACGTCTTATCGTGTTCAGGCAGATTCAATGTGCAGTAATTTATCCTGAGCACCCAAATGGCACATGTGTTCCAGAGGCATTGCATTGCAAAGCCATTTTTCTTGTTACCCGGAAGATGTTCTGTTGAAGACGTGCCAGGCACAATCTGCTGGAGCAAAGCTTGATGATTGTACAGCATGGGGTAGCGGCACTGCTAGGGTGAGCAATGTCATGCACGAGCTGGCTGTCTCCCCTTCGCCCAGACGATACAAAGGCCCAATCTCTCTATATTTATACATTGGCACTGTTGGTTCAACGGCGGCACTTGCCAAAGGAAGAAGTTCCAGCTACGATCCTAGTAATCCTTTCCAGTGGGGCAGTTTGGTGAGCAGTCGGCAAGTCAGGGCCCTTGGCCAGCCTTCCCAATCTCACTGAACCTGAGGAAGGCGAATTGGTGCCTGCAGGTCTTGTCTTGAGGTCTCAGGTGTCGCGTGAGTTGAGAGGGAAATTCAGAGAACGCGCTGCCTTGTAGTGAGCATGATGAGCTTTCATGCTTCGCGAGAGGTGTGGATTGGTTGCCATCATGGCTCGTGGTGTGCTTCAACCGACTAATGATGGACAATTCCTTGATTCACAGCTCACTGCTCGTGCTATGTGCCAAAGGGGGAAAAGTGGGCTCAGCTTCACATGAGCAGCCACCGTTGGCCAGCAGTCAAAACGCAACCCTCTTTGCATTCTCTTTGGTGGGGGGGGGAGGGTCTTTAGCCCAAAAAAACAAAACTATATATTATGTTTTCTGCATTGTCACTGGGCAAGGAGTTCATTGAAATGTGCACAGAACGTTTCTTTCCGGTCAGGGTGCCACATCCAGCCCTGCAGCGGTAGTTTTCATTGCCAGTTCCGGTGCCAGTCAAACGCTCAGTGGTTCAGTAGCACCTTGTCAATCCCGTTTTGGTTGGTGGGTTCCCTGCAAAACGTGGCTGCCAGGGTCACTGGTCAACCTGGAAACTATGTAAAATTGCGCGACAAATTGCAGAGGAAGCTCTGTCTTGAGGCATGCGTTTGACGTTCGCCAGGTCTTGTGTTGCATTTTACAGGCTTCTGCTTTTGGGAAGGATGACATGGATGTGTTGCTCATCGTTCTCGCAACTACCCTGAAAAGGGGTCCTTTTATGTACAGCATGGGTAGTGTCAACCTCGCCTCTGGGGGACAATTTCGATGAACTCTCCCTTTGGATCATGTCCTTCCCACAATTGACCGTGGAAGTCGAAACATCGCTGAGCTTGAGGTCTGAAGAACATGGCAAAGTGTTGTCAGTTCCTACCCCAATGCTTTCAGAATGCGAATTGTAAAAAAAAGAAGAAAAACCAGAGGGCTCAGAAAGAAGGTGTTTTTTGCTTCGCAATTCCCCTTTCAATCCCAAAGGTATATGGAAGAAGCCAAAACAACCAGAAAACCAAGCAACTGCCCATAGCTCTTGGCCATAGCTCCCGGCCATCTTCCCGGGCCCATTTACCCAAAGCCCGCGGCCGAGCGAGCGGCATGGCACTGCTGCGCGGGGTTTTTGGGGCCTTTCAGCGGTGCATGGTGCAGCGCCCGAAGACCACGGCCGTGGCCAACACCACGGTGCTGTGGGTGGTCTCAGCCGCTCGGACGTTATCGCTGGCCGGACGTTATCGCTCAGCACTTTTTTGCAGGTTCCAAGGCGCGGAAACCGGCAGGTCTTGGTGTCCACAATTGTTGGACTGCTTTTTGCGAGGATCTGGAAAAGACAGATTCGAAGGAGATCAATTTTGGACACACGTTGCCGGCACTTGTCGTCCCTGAAATTTGTGCAGACTCCTTCTCAGGATTCCCTGTCCCAGTATGTGGCGCCAGACCGGGAGACTGGCGACACAAAGCAGGGGCACAACTGGGCGCGCACCGCGCGGATGGTGAGCTTTGGCGCTTTTCTGTACGCTGTGCCGGCGATGAAATGGTATGATGCTGGATCTGAGAGCAGATGTTTGTGCTTGCTTATTGGTTTTTTGGTCGCTTGTTTTTTGCTCGTTTGGGAATTTGCTGGCTTGTTTAGTTTCTCAGCAAAATGAACAGTTCAGGCAACCCAACCAGCTAGAGCACCCACAAACAACCAACCAAACAACCAACCAAGCAACCAACCAAGCAACCAACAAACAGCCTGCCAAACAACCAGCCAAACTAGCTCAACCAGCCAACCAAGTCAACCAACTAACCGCGGTTTTGTCTTTTTTTGATTTGTCTCAGGCCTTGCTGAACCGTTGGTTTCCGTCCGCCAGCCTGGGCAGCGTGGCCGCTAAGGCTGGACCCAAATGGAAGTGAAGGGGGGTTAGTCTTTGGGAAGCCCTTGCTATCACAGAAGTGGTCATTTCCCACAGCCCTGCGGTGGACAAAATAGGAAGCAGTCTGGGCATAGTATCTTTGGGACGGAGTTGGGCCAAGAAATGGTGAAATCCGTACCTTCGAAGGGGATTTCCGCCAAACCGGAGGCAGAACATGTTGTTGTGCCATAGCACGTTGTGCCTGTTGTGTTCTCTGCCTGTGCTTCGCCTCAGCGCAGCGTGCCTTCAGTATATGCCAGGTGATCCAAAATGTTGCATAAGTGAACAACTACTTGCATCAAAATCGACTTGTGAGCCAACCTGGCACAGGAACGCTCAGAAGCGCCACGGCAGAGCTAGACACGCTTTGTGGGCCAAAAAAGCAGGGTGTTATTGTACTCATCACAGGGGTTAAGGCAAACATCTTGCAAAAACATCACACTTGGAATACACATTTTGAACAAGACTCCCGAACAGTGGGCGTGGCAACATGGCAATGTGCAGCCTGTAAACGGTAATGTGTCAGCGTCCGATTGTAGCCTCGCAAGCGCGGTGCAGCCTGCGCTTGCTTTCATCCCAAGCCGCCCATCGAGTCGCAAACCTCTCCAGCTCCTCGTGCTCGGGAAACGAATCCTGTTTCATACTGCAAATTGAGGCTTATGGCGAAGAGGTGCATCAGGCTGCACGTTTTGCCCAGCTTGAAGGCGGTGAAGCTTGCAGCGTAAATCAGACCTGCGGCGAATATGCAAGTCAGCCTCATATCCCAACGCCGGAGAGCGCTCACTTTTTTGACGCCTGCGCAATGAATGGTGCAAGGTCTGGAGATTGCAAAACGCGCGTGCAAATCCATGAGCGCTTGTTGATTTCCGAGCCGAGGGGATGGGCGCCTTGGATTCTTGCCTACTTCTTCTATCCGTATCATGTTTGTTCAGGCCTGTTACGTGCCAAGTGCAGCTTCCAACACTCAGGCATAGATTAAATGCATGATCTTTCACGTGTTTCTTTACAGCCGTCTTGACCCCGTTGTAAGGCTGCGCGTGCAGCCAAGGTGGCCGCAAAGCCCTCTACCCGAGCGCCTACATTCGTGACAGCGCAACACGTTCCTGCACACTGACACGGGTGATGTGCCAGTAGTTGACACTAGCTGGCCTGCCCTGCCTCTTGCAAACCTGGTTTTAAACTTAGCCGCCACCGGTCTCCTGACACCACCGGCTGTCATGCCGGTTGTCGCGTGGATAGGTGACATGGCCATATTAATACGTGTCACTGCAGGCTGCATCATCATGATGCTGTCAACATTGTCAAGGAACCTTTGCGGTGCTGCGTCGTGGTTCGTAGCCGAGGCTGCTATCCGGGGTCTATGCTGGCGTGTAATTTCAGTCGCTTTGCTCGAAGCTTGTTTAATTGGAGGAAATTGTTTCTACGCGGGGCTTCAATTCTTCGACAGGTGGGGCTGGACCAAGGGGTGCAGGCGCCACTCACCACAGCTTCGCTGTTTGTGGTGACGTCGCTGCTGGAGGGCAAGGGCCTGGAGGGGGCCAAGCACAAGGTGGAGGCGACGGGCCAGACATCTGGAGGGGCGCCCGGTTTCAGCCGTGCAGCTTAGCACCCTCCAACGGTCCCAAGCAGCTTCCACCACAGATCAGCTGCCATGACCCTTTATGCGCCAAGAAAAGTGTTCCCAGAACATGGGACACGTGGGGCCCCGTGGTTTAAAAAGGGGGCTCCGCCACCCGCCCCCACCACCAACACCAGACTGCGCGTTGACGTCACTTGGTTTGGGGGGTCGAAACTTGCCCTTTCGAGCATTCAAACTTAGTGTTCAGAAACAAGACCAGCCCCAATCCAATCGTCCAGAGTTGTTTGTTCGTACCTGGACCAAGCCAGTTCATCAAGAAACCAAAAATGAGCTCCCCTACAAACACCCACAGTGCCCCACAAGAAAGGGGCCTTCACTACCTCACAACAAACAAACAACATGAATAGTCCGTATGATTTCGGTCGGTTTGAGTCTTAACATGATACATCCTTTCAAGATGCTCCCATGAAATTCCCTTCAATCCAGTTTCCGCGGTGTTTGATGGTGTTCGCCATTCGTGGTAGGTGACTTGACTTGCTTTACTGAATCAAGAGTGCTTCGTGCGGAAGAAGTCGTATAATATGTTGTGGTATTTTGTGCTGATAGCACCCATGCATGTTATGTATGATTTGGAAGTGTTTGATTCGAACGGTTTCTAATGTGTCGCTGCCGCACGGACGAAAGTATGGTTGTATGGCCACTTTGTGTGACATCAAGGGAATCCGCTTCAAGTTGATCAAGTAACGGGAACGGCCCCTATGCCGGTACCAGTCACCATTTTCATTTTATTTTTTTCGCATGAAGCAGCACAAGCCTTCCGGGTTTCGCCTCTGGATCAGGAGAGGCTGATGCCCACGCTGCGGGTGAATTGGTGCATCTGGCCCTTCATCCAGGCCATTAACTTGAGCCTTCCCCAGAATTAGCTCCCCTTCTTGACTTTTTTTTCTCGCTTTTGTGGGGCCCCGGTGTTTTCCACATTTTCCAGGAAAAAGAAGGTCAAAGAAAGGGGTCTCTTTTTTTGCTGAGGTCCCTTTTTCCAGCCCAGGAGCGTGGTGCCTCCGGCCTTTCGGCTGCTGGTGGTCAACTCCGTGTGCGTGCCCTGGCTGGTCTTCGTGTCCTGGATGACCAACAAGAAATCCGAAGCCACCGAAGCCACCGGAGCCACCGAAACGGAAGGGCTCATGGTCTTGGCACACGGCTGAGTTCGGCTGGGGTCCTGAGAGTTCCGTTTTTTTTTTGTTTCTCCGGGGGGGGGCTTAGGGAGAAGGTGAACATAGGGCCTAAGGGGCGCCTTACAGTTCCCTTTTGGGTGGTTTCAATCATCTTTGCGCCGATTTTGAAGTGGGCTTTTCTTGTATGGTGTGACGATGTGATGTTTCAAGGGGACATACAAGGAAACCCTGCCTGCGCATGTGTGTCTTGACACGTTGAAGAAGCCGTTCCAGCTTTACGCAGCCTGCGCAGATCTGCGATGTCGGGGCTGGGAACAAGAGGGTCCCGCCTGCGACCATTTTCTGGCTGCTTGCCTCCGCGGCATACGCTCAGCTCGCCCTCTCCAAGACGGGGGGGCTGCTTGCGGTCTTAGGATCGACCTTATGTCCCCTGTCCATTGCGGATATGCGGTCTATGCTCAAACATGTTGACCAGCCTGCCGGTCACTGGTAAGACAACCTTGCCATGAAACACACTTTTTGGAGGAATCCAACCAGCTCCGACATGCCACGCGTGGCTCAGCCTGCCACAACTGCATGTCTTGTGGACCTGGGGCAATGCACGCCACAATTCGCCTTCCAGGCACCCGGTTGATAACCGTGGATGCCAGTTCCTTGTGTTGCATGAAGGCAAACTCAGAGGCCCATCACACCCCCGAAGCATGTACGATGTTTCTGTGCAACTAGATACAGCTGGGTACAATTCACAACTCCCCTGTGTTGGTTTCGCCATTCGCTTTACCTATCCACGTAAAGGGACATGTGCCATCTACTTTCATTCTTTGTGTCACATTCTCGACGCTCCTTGTTGACTAGCCATGTGGCACACGTGATTGGTCTTCGCTTTATCCCGTACCTGGCCACTGCTACTTTGTGTGAAATCAGAAGCTTGCGGGGGGTCAGGCTTCCCTCGGTTTTAGAAATTGATGCGGAGCCGGTGAAGATGGTTTCCACCACCCCCAACCCCCAAACCATGGCCCCGAATGGGAAATGGGGTGTATCTTCTTTAACAATTTGCCATGTGTGAGGGGGACACTCATTTTTGCCGGGGTAGTGGAAATCCAGCCTCTTTGCGTTGAACTCTTCCGTCAGTGAGTAGTAAACTCAGAGCTTCCCGATGGATCTCGTGATTTCCTCCGTGCATGGCGGATTTTTCATAATGTGCTCCCACCAGCCCAGAGGCCGCAGGGAGCACATCGGTCCAGAAACCGCTAACAGGGCACATTCGCAGGCACCCTCACGAATTACTGGGGATTCACATGCTCTTGTTGGCCCAAATACACTTTCTTCAAGCATCTTGCGGGAATGTTGAACACGTAGCACTTTGAATAGCTGTTCAGGATTCTGAGTTGGGTGATACTGATCCCTGGCCAAGCATGACTTTTATGGCTTCCAAAAGAGCATTCCTGCTGATTGCCCGGCTTCATCAGCCACTGAATGATGCAATGGCCTTTGCCAGAAATAATATGTTCCTTGCCATCGGGTTGCTGAATTGTTCATGGCGTATGAATGTGTCTCTTTGAGCACGAGATTCGAAGACAATCTGAGCACGATGACTTCATGGTATGGGTCGCGCCCTTCATTTTAGTGATAGAGCCAAATATGTTTGGGGCAACAGCCATTTCTGGAAAATAGCATATCCTGGGTTTTGTTCAATGTAAACCCTCCTGATTTCAGGTCGGGTGCTTCGATTTTGCCCACTGAACAGCTGCCATTATTGGCATCCAGTGCTCCCAGTTGCCGGAAGCCGTGCCCCCCGTCCGTGCCCCAACCATATGCTGGGCAGGGCTACAAAGGGTGTATACAGTATACATATTTGAAGGGGTACGCCAAGAGCAGGCATTCAATTTCCCTTGAATCCTGGTAGGCAACAAAACAAGCGCCGGGTCTGTAGAGAAGCTGCTGGCGACCCGCAGCAACTGGGATCCACTGGTCCAAATGAGCCACAGGGACTGCGGGACCGCGGGACCCCGCATGGCCTTTGGATCTGCTCGAAGGCTCGCTTTCGGCGCGCTTGGCTCGCGCGAAACGGCAAAAACGTCGCAAGCTGCTGGCTGCAGGGTCGCTGGGGGGCTGAAGGAATCTCAAGGCTTGTTTGGTTGAGAGAGCCCACATCCAGTTGTTCAGCGCTTTAGAGCCTGTATTTCTCGAAGTTAGAAGCTTTCTTGGTGAATGGCTCTAAAGGCAAGCACGAGCAACGCTCGCCATTTGGTCTCAACTTGATGTGGTCCACGGCGTGGGCGAGATTCGCGCCTTCCGAGGCTGAGGAGCAGCCTTGAGACCCACGTGGAGTTTTTCGAGAATGAAAGCAACCCGACGCGCGGCTCGGACAGAAAGGCGGAGGAGTTGGGTGCAGGGAATCAAGGCGGCATCGGATGGCATCCCTTAGGCTTCGCAGGGTGTTCTCGCAGGGCGCAACGTGTCTGTGTGTGTTTTGCGGGTCCAACACATCTATGTAAAGGGGCCGCTCTTAGCTGTCCTCAGCTAGAAGTGGTGCAGTGAAAATAGGGCATAGGGGGGTTTTGTTTTTTTGCGGGTACCCGTTTCAGGTTGGTTTAGAGGGAAACCACAATGACAAACCGCTCCTTTTTTTCCGGCAGGGGGGGAGGGCCAAGTTTGACACATACCCACAGCTGTCCATCAGAATTTGATGACCTGGACGCTTTTGCATGCACTCGGAGTGTTGGAAAACTTGACGTGCTATCAGACTATCAACAATTTGGACTGCTGTTGAGATCGGCGCATGCCTCCGAACCATCCAGATATTTTTTGCGTATGGCTCTGATTCTTGGTCTCCTGGAACTGCCCAAAGCTGCTCGAATCATCTCAAATCCCTCTTGCTTGTGGCTTGTGTCCCAGAGCCACAAAGTGGATGTGATGACTTGGGCTTGTGCAGCAGCTTAGAATTTTCGGGTACATGCGTCTTTTTTGAAGCCCTTGCTGGTTGCTTCAAAGGGAAACCAAAACGATCGAGGCGCCTGTTTGTTGCTGGTCCCCACTAGGCTATTATGAAAAGAAGTGGTCCCATGGCCACATGCTCAGGATGGAGGTCAAGAGGCTGAGCGACCAGAAGCGTCTCCGTCACAAAGCTTTGTCGGCTCAGAGGATGTGAGCCCCCGCGCGCGTGTTTCGGCGTCCACCCCGAAGTGGGTCCCCTGCCGCGGAGTCAGCGCTCGAAGAAAGCTCGGCGGCTGACTGGTGCACAGGATCCGGGGCTGTGAGTGCAAACCAACTGACGCTATCTCGCAAGCCGAAATCCTCTCAAAGGTCTGGGCTGCTCGACGTTTCGGCTGCGCGAGTTGTCAGCGTCTGCCCCACTCCACGCGATCCGCGGCAACATCTCAAATTCAGGATCCCATCGTGGAAAGGACTGCGAGGAGCGGAGAGAGAGCGGCCGTCCGACAAAAGAGGCCATGTGTTGAGGCTGCGGGGGCGGGGCGTCCATTTTGAGGGCTGGCTATCAAATGAACAATAGGCAAATGTTCTAATTTGTATTGCTCTTGGTGCATCCCTCAACATCCAATTGGATGTTTCGTGAAATCGGGGCAGCCCCAAAGAAATCGACGTCCTTTTTTTTTGAAGGGGCACCGCACGCCCCTGCTATTTGCCAAGCCAACGGCCGTATGGCTGTGTGTCAAAAACGGGTACCAATGGAACCCTAGTAAGTGGAAGCAACGACTAAAACCTGCGGTCCGATTCCTGGTGGTTTAGTTGTGAGCCATACCCGTATCACGCGAGTTCTCGATCGATCCATCGATCGCTCGATGCGGGCGGGTTCGCCAGGCCAAGGACGGGGAGCAGCGCAAGGCGGCCCGGGCGGAGGAGCAGCTGGCGCTGCAGGCTGGGGACGCGGGGACCTTGGGGCGGACTTTGGTGCATTTTGCCAAGGGATGTTAGGACTTCAACTGTTTGCCAACTAAATGGGTTTTCCATATGAAACCAGAAAAACAAGAAATTTCCGCAGGGGAGCAGAAAGCAACCAAAAGAGTGGACATCATCGATAGAGTTGTGTCCACCTACCGACTTTTGAGAGGTTCCGCATATTTCCGCATGAACACTTATTTCGCCATGTTTGCCCTTGGCCAGAAAGATGACCAACGAACGGCTTTAGAGTTGAACGGAGACCAAGATTCGGAGGTTTTGTTGCAAGGACTTTCAGACCGTGGTCAGCAGTTTGAAGGACTTCGGAGGTTTATCCGGCCCAGTTGTTGGGGTTTTTGGATTGCGCACCCCTTTTTGCCAATTTTTGTGGGTCGAGTCCCCCAAAAAAAGGAAGCCGTAAGAAATGGCGAAGCCTGAACGAACCTTTCAGTTGGCCGCATGGTAGGGTTTGAGTGAGGTTCCACGTTAATCTGCGGTCGTGTGTCAGGACACCATCAAGATGCTGATGTCCGACAACTCGCTGGACCTCTTCAGGCGAGTCCATGTGAAAAGATCAAAGCCAGGTGGGGCTGGTCATTAACGTCTTCCTGGACTAAAGGGCCAATGGGGTATTTCGCTACGAGGCGAGCTCCCTCCCCAAGGAATGCTCAGCTGCTCGGCCTTCAGAGTAAAACAAAAAAGTAAGCACCAACAAAAACGCAACTGGTTTCTTTTGCACCCAACACACGCAGCGAGAAGCAACAAGTTCCTGAACTGACTGGTGGTGGGCTCAGATGAGCTCCTTTTGCCCAGTGGTTTGGAGGGGCCTCAGCTCAGAATCGGCGATGCCCTTTCAAGCACACATCATGAAGCCTGAAGCAGGGAATGATTTGCTCCAGGTCGTCCCTTTCAGGTTCTATGTGTTGGGGGAAAGGTGCTCAAGTGCTCAACCAGTGCTCAACAGTCCACTAGCTAAGATCGGAGAAGCGGCAGCCCCTCTTGGATGGTGCTTTAAGGGGAAACCGTGGTTTCCACGGCTCAGATGTTTATTCGAGAAACACGTTTCACTTGTTTGCTCGTGAGGGACTAGACGAGGAGGTTTCACTCGCTCCAATGTAGCCCAGGATGCGAGTCCCCCAAAACAAACAATTCCGACTGGGCCACTTGTTCTCTTCCAAGCACAG